TCTGTACACCAGCCCAAGAAGCTTACCTGGGAACTCCAGGATAGCTATGGGCAGAGCCTCTACTCCAACACGATGGTAGCGCCACTGAGGACCTGGTACCCTGATATTCTAGTGTCCGGAGAAAAATTCTTCGGATGTGGGTTATGGGCAAAAACCTTACGGGCCAGGTTCTACACCTGCCCCGCTGTCAGGAAGAGAGGATGTGGAGGACCAGAAGCATTTTACTGTGCCTCATGGGGTTGCGAGACTACCGGACACACATGGTGGACACTCCCCTCACCTGACCCTCATATTAAGATCACCCTGCTAAAGTATGACGGGGCTGCAGATTGGACAGGGGATTTCTATTACAACTGCAATAGCGAGAATCCCCGTTACCCCACTCTTAACATTTCCTTTACCCCAAAGGGCAGACAAGAAGACTGGACTAGGCCGAAGTCCTGGGGTCTGAGACTATACAAAGAAGGATACGATGATGGCATCACATTCTCTCTCCTCCAACGGGTAGAAAGTTCCCCTGCCCAAGCCATAAGACCCAATCCTGTGTTGCCGGATCAACAATCGCCTCAAGGCAAGCCACAGCCTGCCGCCCCACCTGAAAACCCTTCTCCCCCGCCTGAGGCAAACCGGACCCTTACTACTACCCAGGTCCCCGCCTTAATGACCCCTTATCATCCTGGGACAGGAGATCGGTTACTCGACATCATTGGGGGAGCCTATCAAACTCTTAACCTCACTGATCCCGTTAAGACCCAAGAGTGCTGGCTGTGTCTAAATTCGGCCCCACCATATTATGAGAGATATGCGGTCAGTGGAAACCTTGCCAACGCCACCTCGCCCCCTCCAGTCTGCACACAGGCGGATTCACATAAGTTAACCCTTTCTGAAGTGTCAGGAAAGGGGCTTTGCCTGGGAAAAGTTCCCCCCAGCCACCAAGGCCTATGCAATTCGACCCTCCAGGTCTACCCAGGAGACTACTATTTGAGAGGACCAAACGGGACCCACTGGGCATGTAGTACCGGCCTCACCCCCTGTGTGTCCGCCCAGGTACTTAACCAAACTTCTGATTTTTGTGTGCTTATCGAACTCTGGCCTAAAGTTATTTATCATGACCCTGAATATGTATACCTTCACTATGAAGGTCTAGCCAGATATCCCAGAGAGCCTGTGTCTCTCACCTTGGCCTTATTATTGGGGGGTCTGACGGTGGGAGGCATTGCAGCAGGTGTCGGGACTGGAGCTACCGCCTTAGCGGAGACTTACCAGTTTAGACAACTACAACAGGCCATGCACACTGACTTACAAGCTTTAGAAGAATCAGTCAGTGCTCTAGAAAAGTCTCTGACTTCATTATCTGAGGTAGTCTTACAGAACAGAAGAGGATTAGACATCCTCTTCCTGCAGGAGGGAGGACTTTGTGTAGCCCTTAAAGAAGAATGCTGCTTCTATGCTGACCATACAGGCCTTGTCAGAGATAACATGGCAAAACTCAGAGAGCGCCTTAAACAACGCCAACATATTTTTGAGTCTGATCAGAGCTGGTATGAAAAATGGTTTAACGGGTCCCCATGGTTTACCACCTTAATATCCTCTCTGTTGGGACCCATGATTATTATTCTCTTAATCCTTCTTTTCGGGCCATGCATCTTAAATCGATTAGTCCAATTTATAAAAGACAGGTTGTCAATAGTACAGGCCATGGTCCTTACCCAACAATATCATCAGCTCAGGCAGGCCGAAATAAAATAGACCATCCATCGAATGAAAGATTCCATTCGAGAGTTAAAAGAAAATGGGGGAATGAAAGACCCCCAGCTTAGCTAAAACAGCAGTAACAACATTTTGCAAGGCTGGAAAAGTACTGGACCCTGAGATAGATAAAGACAAGATATCTATGGTTAACACTCGACCCCAAGCCAGGAACGGAAAGTACCAGATAAGCTCCAGGCGTTCCAGGAAGGCGGTTAGAGACCCCCCAAGTCCCCCGTTCCTGGAACCCGCCTTCGGCCCTGCGTTCCTGGAACCCGCCTTTTTGCCCTACGTTCAACCGTAGCCTCATTTAAAATATCCAATCAGAACCCTGTAACTATGCTTTTCGCTTCTGTAATCAGCTTCCCGCTTCCAAACCCTATAAAACTTCATGCCCCTAGACACTCGGAGAGCAGACCTCTTCGGAGATTCTGACTCCCGGGTACCCGTGTGTATTGAATAAACCTCTTTGCTGTTTGCATCCGAACCTTGGTCTCGGTCCTCCTTGGGTGCGGGTCTCCCTGGAGAAGGACACTCATTGAGTGAGGGTCTTTCAGTTTTATTTTTCAAGACAGGGTTTCTCTGTGTAGTCCTGGCTGTCCTGGAACTCACTTTGTGGACCAGGCTGGCCTCGAACTTAAAAAAACTCAGAAATCCGCCTGCCTCTGCCTCCCAAATGCTGGGATTAAAGGCTTGCACCACCACTCCCTGGCCCTGCCTGCCTTTGTTAAATGCACAAGATAAATTAGTTGGATGGGACCCTGCCCTGAAATTACCATTTTAACTACTCCTGGGCCTGCACCTGCTCTGACCCACGTTGACTATGAAATCAGGAATAGGCCTGCCTTTTTATTTCCCTGCCTTTGTTTCATTCTTTGAAGCTGGCTCAGAAGTAGCTCCCTTTGTTCCTTTAGATTCCTGAAGAAACCCCTCATATAATTTATATTGCATTCCTTTTGTGCATAGTTTAAAAATTATATATTTTTATACTCCTGTATTTAGAGATTCTTTCCATAGCCTTAAGGACTGTCCTGAAGACTCCAATGTTACCCTTTTGTTGAGGCATAGCCACACCCTCAACTCCTGGACTCTTGCTGTTCCTAAACCTAATGGAGTCATTAATGTTAAGAGGGAGGGCATTCTTCTGAAGGAAAGAGTTCTCCACTGCTAATGGGTCCAGAAAGAATGTCTATTATTAAACAAAGAAGCCTTACTTATGGCCAGAGCAGCCATCAACATTACTGGAGGATGACACCTGTAGCCGGTGCCAGAGGCAGGATCCATGTAACTCTGCCCCCACCAGGGCCACACTTGGCTTAGCAAAGTGGTGCTTGTTAAAGTGTAGCTCTACATGGAAAAAATGTAAATAGACCTATGTTCTTCACCCTACACAAAACTCACATCCAGCTGGATTAAAGGCTTAAAATAAAGCCAGGCAATATTGTCGCGAGCAGGGACTCCTGTTTGTTTGTTTGTTTGTTTGTTTGTTTTTCGAGACAGGGTTTCTCTGTGTAGCCCTAGCTGTCCTGGAACTCACTCTGTAGACCAGGCTGGCCTCGAACTCAGAAATCCTCCTGCCTCTGCCTCCCAAGTGCTGGGATTAAAGGCGTGCGCCACCACCGCCCGGCTTAACTTCTTGAATTCTTTGTATATTCCGGATATTATCCTCTGTTGGATATAGGGTTGGTAACGATCTCTTCCCAGTCAGTTGGTTGCCATTTTGTCCTATTGATAGTGTCCTTTGTCTTACATAAGCTTTTCAGTTTTATGATTTCCCATTGGTGTTGAGTAAATATTTTAAAAGGGCGGCACCCAATCTGGCTTGTTCTTAACAAGCCTCCATCTTCCCAACTAGACAAGGCTGTGGCCACGAGCTGCAGCAGCATATTCTTTCCGCAGCTCAGCTCAGGCCACCAGCTCAGGCCACCTGACAGACAGCCAAAGACACCAGCCCTGCCACCCATGAGACGCCAGCGTGGGAGATGGCTCTGCCAATCTTCCATGCTGTCTCCACAAGGCTGGGCTGGGCCCAGACCATCCCATCATCCACTTGATATCCAGTAGCAATGAGACGCTTTGGATAGTTTAGACTATCCAAAGGCTTTATAAGTTTGATAATACTCACTTAACAAGATACCCACACAATTAGAGGTGTGTCCCAATATCTAACCTTAAGATATACTTTGTTACCCAGGACTACTCCCGATGCTCCATCGCTCCTCCATCTCTGCCTCCTTACTCCTCTTCTTTCTTTCCTTACTCCTCCCACTTTAGCTCCTCCCAACTTGCGGGAAAATATGCCACTATACATTGATCTATAGTTGACCTTAACTCCTGAGCCATTGGTGTTCTGTTCAGGGAATTTTCCCCTTTGCAGGTGTGTTTGAGGCACATTTCCACTTTCTCTTCTATTAGATTCAGTGTATCTGGTTTTATGTGGAGGTTCTTGTTCCACTTAGACTTGAGCTTTGTACAAAGAGATTAGAATAGATCAAACTGCATGTTTCTACAAGCTGAGCCCCATTTGAACCAGCACCATTTGTTGAATAGCCTGTCTTTTTTCCGCTGTGTTGTTTTGGCTTCTTTTCAAAGTACAGGTGACCATAGTGTGTGGGTTTATTCCTGGGTCTTTAATTCTATTCCTTTGGTCTACCTGTTTGTCTCTGTACTAATACCATGCAGTTTTTTTTTTAAATCAATATTGCTCTGTATTACAGCTTGAGTTCAGGGATGGTGATTTCCCTAGAAGTTCTCTTATTATTGAGAATAGGTTTTGGTATCCTGGGTTTTTTGTTATTCCAGATGAATTTGAGAATTGCTCTTTCTATCTCTGTGAAAAATGGAATTGAAATTTTGGTGAGGATTCTCGATTGA